ATAGTCTTAATTTATTCATTTCGTTTCCGATACTTCGCCAGCATTAGGAGTTAAACTCCGTAGGCTTAAAGTTAGTTTATACTGGAAGTAGTATTGAACGTGAAGCACCTATTGGTAAATATTAATAATGAGTATTCATTGCGCTGTGGATCCTCATCAAATGCTGAGTGCAGAAGCGGTTGGAACCGTTAAGTAACATAGGACTTTCTTTATGGTTACGACTGTATTGCATTAGGACGAACAGAGATTACAGAAAAAAGAAAGTCCTGAAACATCATATATTCCTCTGTTAAGCATCATTTGCACATCGATCTCAGAGCTTTAACCCCTTTCTTTTTGAATGTGCCAAGCAGTAGATCACTCATTTTCCTCACTCCTTTTGTCCAACACTGTGGCAAACCATTTTGATGATCAAGCTTCATATCACTCAAATATAAGTAAATAATTCTGTTAATATAATTTAACACTTAAAATATGACATAACTCTATAAAACATTAGACGTTACGTTCAAGCTTAAAATATCCCATATAAATCTGTGAAATAGTAGACGTTATGTTGAAGCTTAATTACAGTATCACATATAAATCTAGAATTACAGCAATGCAGTAAAATATTGGGAGCACGATTCAAAACGTGTAATTCATGATATAAGAGCATCAATTACGCTATGGATGGCCAAATAAGTTTTTAATGTTTAAAATTTTTCCTCCATGAAAACGTATCAAATTCAAAAAATGTATATTTGTGATATAACATCTTTTAACTTTAGTTTGCTGCAGCAGATGTCGCGTTAATCGCCACTCCTGAAGTACTGAAAAAGTTAACTGCCTGTAAAGTTACAGCGGTGTTACCTCTGCATATATAAGTTAGAATCCCTATTTTTTCCTATTAGAACAAATTGGTTATAACATACTACGTGATTCCATGAATACGTCGTTAGCAATATGTTCTGGAGTAATCATTCATTTCACATTCGCTTTTATATTACTTTTGTAGTGTTTTACCCTTCAGTAGACTTGGTAGGTACTAAAAAGCAACAGAACCATAATATGTAACTATAAATAAGGTGATAAACGAGTTATGACAAAAATATCTGGTCCAAATCTTTTAGGTATTTTCAGTTAGCAATTGATTTATTATGTATTTGGTACGGTGAGAACACTAATTATAATATTAATGTTAAATCCTTCTAAATATTACTGCAATGCCACGTATATTGGCGCCCGCAGGAAGGGGCAAGAGGGGTAATTTGCCCCCTTACATTTCACACAAAAAATTGCACATATTATGGTGTAAACTTAATATCGTAGTTAAATTAAATATTTTTAGTAATTTCTATTAAAACTATAAATTTGTGTTTGCGTTTAAGCGCACATAACACATATTATTGACTTACACTGTAAAAGCTGATCCCCTACATACATGTTTTGCCCCCCTCCTTGAAAATATTTCTGTGACGCCCATGGTCACGTACTAGCCCTAAAGATTACTGCAATATCACGTACTAGCCCTAAATGTAATATTTGTTGCATAGCTTGATCAGGCAGTTAGTTTTAATGCTAGATAATATAAACTTTCGGTATCTTAATAAGCTCATTCGTTTCTATTGCAACGGATGAAAGTATAATACAATAAATAATGTATCATCATTTTCAAACCTGTACAGAGAAGACATTATTTATTAAGTTTGGATTCGTGCATTGGAAGCAGTCTCTTAAAATGAGCATAATTTTGTTTTCTGTTTATAATGATGTTATATACATTGAGATAAATTGAATGAAACGCAGTTTCTAAGTTTGATAGAGATACGTGCTATATAGAAAAATGAAAAAAAATTACCCTTGCACGTGAAAACATATGAAATTGAAATACACGTGAAAACATGTGAAATACTAGAAATACAACTCTAGTAAATTCGGTACAATATGGCAGAAGTAGAGAGTATTATTGAAACATTATTTTACGTTCATGATTGACAAAAAAAAAAGGTTGGCTAGTTTAGTGCTTTTTGTAAAAACATGATGAATTGTATTGACTTGTTTTACTGCATTATGACCACTAGGTGGCGATAGTAGAAATGTTGATTTTGTTGTTCCTGCTATTTGTTATAAATCTGTTGTGTTTTTGTTTTTTGAATTTCGGGCAAAGCTACACCAGGGCTATCTGCTCTAGCCGTCCCTAATTTAGCAATGTAAGACTAGAAGGAAGGCAGTTAGTCATCACCACCCACCGTCAAC